TAGTCTGCTGTAGTTGTTCTTATCTTCTTTTCTCTCTTAGATTCTGATAAATCCCTCCCTATGGGTTTTTATAAAAACCTTCCCTGTGATTCTTGTCCCAACCCCCTCACTGCACCTGCACACGCATACACACACACACATACACTCTCACACACTTGCGCACACATGCGCACGGCATTTCTGGAATTATAGGGTAGAGAATATTTGGATTCCTAAAATTTTTTTCCCTATCCGAATGGCAGTTTTTCTGTTTATGGTATGCAGTTAGGATACTCTTAATTTAGATGCTCCAGGATAGTCTTACTAGTTGTGTTATGGTTTGTAACTCTGCTTTGCAACACTAGCTTTCCCACGATGGTTATAGTTGTTTTTTTTTTTAAGCCATTTCTTAAAATATTTAATTATGAAAGCCTATCTTTCTGAGTTGGTAAATAGTATTCTGTGTTTCTTTAAGGTAAATAATTCTCCTAAGTTAATGAAAAACTGTTTCTCTGAGATCTGGAGTGGGGATGGACTTTATGCTGCCAGGATCAGTAGTGACACCTGGGCCTGGAGTGGAGGAAAAGGGGATTGACTAGTCAGGTGCTACATACCTGCTGACTCTGGCATAGCTGTTTTTAAAAGTCTGTTGTAATCCTTGACAGTTTTCAAGTCTGTTTTGGAAACCTTTTAGTCTAAGATAAAAATACGGTATGTCACTGCAGATTATTTAGAGGAGAGATCCGCCTGTTGATTTCAAAGTCTTGGGAAACATCCTAAATTGTATGCATTCTTACACCCTTTTCTCTACCAGCACTGTGTTTTGCCACACTCCTCCCAAAATAGGGGAAGGGTGTTGCTCAGTGGGCAGATGTGCTCCTCTTGCTGCTCCTGAAAACAGTTTGCCCAATTTCCTACCTTTTTAGAAAATTTGACTATAGTTGATACATAGTGTTACATTAATTTCAGGTGTACACTATAGTGTTGGACAATTTATGTGCTACCATTTCTTTCATTCTGTCATACTCTCCCTTCCCCCCACTTTCAAATCCTCACTCTCAGGGATTTGGAAATAAAGATGATCTCCTTGCTGCTTTCCAGTTTAATGAGCCCTCTCTTAAATTTTAAGATTACCCGTCTCACATTACAAAAACCAGAAAGTGGAGTGGTTGGCTACCTAGGCAAAATTATGACTCTGATGGAATGACCCCAGGTCCTGAGCCTAGTTTTCAGATTTCTTTTTCTTTCTTTTTATTTTATTTTTTTAAAAATTTATTTGAGAGAAATAAGGGGTGAGAAGACTCCCTGCAGAGGAGAGCAACATGGGGCTCAATCCCAGGACCCTAGGATCATGACCTGATCTGAAGGCAGATGCTTAACCTAAACTGAGCAACCCAGGTGCCTCAGGTTTTCAGATTTCTTAGCTCAGTAACACTTTTATCCATTCTCTGACGTGTGATCCATCTCTGGACCTTGATTCAAACTAACTAAGCTCATATGAGGTTGATAAATCAGACTTCTCAATTTCCACAAAGAAGTCAAATAATTAATAATAATAGTCCAAAATACTAACCTCAGCTGGACAGAGCCAGTTTCTTACCATTGTTAAATTTTACTGGGGAAAGTCAGTGACGATCAGAGTTTTTTTTTTTTTTTTTTTTAAAGGTAGAATCCAGTTCAAATAATGGCATTTGGATGATGGGCTGTTCTCATCGAGCTCTGGTAGTCTGACACGACATTTTATATTTTCTAGGTTATTCTTGGAATATTCATTTCATTCAAAAAGGGCACTTGCTTTGCCAGATAGTCCTCTAGAATAGGAACAGTTTCTGACCCTGTAGCTCTCTGTGTTAGGTATTTTTTTACCATCAGTCTAAAAACTTTAGTCATTGTATTCTGTTCTCAAGAAGTTAACATGTAAGAGAATAGTTTGTTTTATCAATAGCACTTAACAAAACAAAAAAATAGATGTGCTGTTTCTTGTGCAGATGATTAGTCTCACCATTTATGTTTTTTCAAGCAGCTTTTAAAGGATTATTTACCTCCTTCTGTATTTTGATTACCCAGAGCCAATTTCTGTTTCAAAAATAGCTCTATTTCCCTTTGTTAGGGAGGCAGCATAACAGTGAAAGTTGCTTTGACTTTTTTCCAGTCTTTTTTTATTGTAGCAAATACATGTAAAATTTACTGTTTTAACCATTTTTAAGTTTAGCATTCAGTAGTATTATATACATTCATAATGTTGGGTAACCATTAACCATCATCCATCTTCATAATTCTTCTTTTGTAAACTGAAACTCTGCACACATTCAGTAACTTCCTTCCCCAGCCCCTGGCAATTGCCATTCTACTTTCTGTCTCTGAGTTTGACTACTTTAGTACCTCATGTAAATGAAATCATACAATAATTGTCTTCTTGTGATTGGCTTATTTCACTTAGAAAGTAGCTTTAGGGGCACCTGGGTGGCTCAGTTGTTAAGTGTCTGCCTTCGGCTCAGGTTATAATCCCAGTGTCCTGGGATCGAGCCCCACATTGGGCTCCCTGCTCGGGGGAGAAAGCCTGCTTCTCCCTCTCCCTGCACTGCTCCCCTTCTTGTGTTCCATCTCTTGCTGTCTCTCTCTGTCAGATAAATAAATAAAATCTTTAAAAAAAAAAAAGTAGCTTTAACTTTTAATTGGACACAAAGCCAGACTCCGTTACTTCTCAGCCTTATGATGATGGTTAAATTGCTTAAACCTTTTTGGGCTTCAGGTTTCTGTTGGTAAAATGGAATTAATTCTGATTCTGCAGGAAGAGCTAGCAAAAGACTAAATCTAGTGAGATAAGAAGAAAACCAAGACAAAAGGTACACTGAAAGCCAAATGAATAAGTGTGTCTACACGGAGTGATCATTTACATTAAACGCTGATCATAGGGCAAGCAAAAAGAGGTCTGAGAAACGAGCGTTGGATATAACAGTGTGAGGTCACTGGTTTTTTTCTTAGCAGTTTTTGGTAGAACGTTAAAAGTTCATACTGACTTGAATGACTCTAACTGGGAAAAGAGGACTGGAAGAGAGAGTGCATATACAACTCCTAGGGATAATTTTTTTGGTGAAGAGAATGAGAAAAAAGGCTGGAGGGCAAAATGAGGTCAGGACTTTTAAGTAGAGGAAATAAAACCATGTGTATATATATACTGAAGGTAAAGATCTAGTGTAGAGGGAAAAAGTGATGTAGGAGAGAATTGCCAAGTAATGTCCTTGAATAGGCAAGATGATAGGGTGGGATTGAGTGTTCAGAGGGCAGGCACTTTGTCCTACTAAAAGAGAGTGTAGATGGGTGGAGGTGGGAGATCATAGAAAGGGCTCTTATGTTTTCTGTTTCAGTGAGAAAATAGAAGTAAGAAAGAGACAATGGAGGAGTAAGTGTTAGAGGTTTGAAGAGAGAAGTCATGTAGCAGGGACTAGGAGAATTCAAGTGTAATTTCCTGGCAGCATAAGTAATCCATTTGAGGTAAATGATTGCTGACTGGCTCACTTTAGGTTCACATGGTGGTAAGTTTTTCTCCAGCTATATTTAGCTGAGTAGTATCCGGAAAAGGTGGAGAGTTGTCTAAAGTGGGTTTGGGCTCATCCAAGTGAATAAGGTGAAGTGAGACTCAGTCAAGGAGTTCGGGGTAATATGCAAAGGGTGTGAGATTTCATTTCACCTAAATATTTTGGAAGGTATTGATAACATAAAGATTAAGGAAATAACTGCAAGTGAAATGAACGATAGTCCTTCAGTATCAACTTATGTTTAGTACTTCAAATTGTCTGATTCTCAGAAATGATTTTTACACTTGGTTTTTCCAAATATACCCAAACAGGTGTATGTAGCACATTTGATTGCTGTGCCTTGTAAATTGTGTGATCCATGTCAATTTCCTCCTGTCTTATTTTCATGTCATGTATTTGTTGAAGAAATTGGGTCTTTCTCATCTGTAACTTCCCGTATTCTGCATCTGGCCGGCAGTATTTCTGTAGAGTTAAGTTTAAAAAAAAATTTTTTTTAAAGATTTTATTTATTTATTTGACAGACAGAGATCACAAGTAGGTAGAGAGGCAGGCAGAGAGAAGAGGGGAAGCAGGCTCCCTGCCGAGCAGAGAACTGATGGGAGGCTCGATCCTAGGAACCTGAGACCATGACCTGAGCCAGAAGGCAGAGGCCCAACCCATTGAGCCACCCAGGCGCCCCTCTTGTGTTATTTTTAACATAGTCCTCTGTCTCCTTTATTTTGTTCAGCTGGTACCAGAAGTAGAAGGGCTTGATATGATTCACATTTAATTTCTTATTTTTAATATGTTTTGATGAGGGGACCAGGGCATAGTAATATTGGCATATAGATCTAGTTTTCCTAATGATGAAATTGGTCATTGGGTTGAGGTCTCATAACCTATATATCCATTTAATAATTTATCTATTGGATTTTTTTTCACCTAATGCTTTTATTAATCATTGGTGATTGTTGCCTAGATCCATTTTTTTTTCCCCCACTAGGGGCTGTGAAATAGTGATTTTCTAATTATGTGACTCTTTCTGTCTTTATTAGCTAGAATTCTGTTAAGAACATTCCCTTATCTAGTTTTGACCAGAAGTATAGGATAAATGCTTGATTCTTTCCCTTCTCCCACTTTTATAGGTGCCTGAGGTTTATTTATTTATTTATTAAAGTTTTGCATTCATGTAGTTTATAATGACTCAGAGTCATACTTTTATGTTCATGTTGTCTGACCTGCGGCTACTGGTTGCTTCTTCAGACTTTCTGCTGCTTTATGGCCACAGCATCTTTGTTAGCATCCAGCCCTGTTTTGTATTTTTTTGATCCTGAACCTGAACTAGGTCCATCCTGGACCATTTCTCCAAAAAGTCCCTAGTTCTTTTTGTTGGGAAGTGGTATTTAGAGATCATAATACGGGTGTGTTTACATTTAAAAAGATGTCATTGTTTTCAGTTATTTGGTTCTTCAGAATACTGATTGGATTTTTTTAATTCAACAGGCATGCCCAAAGAAAAATACGAGCCCCCTGACCCTAGGAGGATGTACACAATTATGTCCTCTGAGGAAGCAGCAAATGGAAAGAAATCACATTGGGCAGAGCTTGAAATAAGTGGTAAGACCTGCATGCATAAATTTATGGTATGGAAATCAAAATATGGTAGAAAATTAAGTTCTCAAATGCCAGTACACAAAAGAGGCAATGCTGTATTTTGCCAGTGCTAATTTATCTTAGAGGTGGGAAGGTTCAGTGGCAGGAGCATAGTTTCAGTCAAGTTCGAAACCCATTCATTGCTTATTCTTTAAGTATCTGTGTCCTTTTATAAAATGGGAGTAATAACAAGGATGAGATGAGAATAACACATATGAAATACCTAGTGTGCAGAGGTTTGTTCTGATACGTAATTCTCTGGTCAGGTAGGGTCGAGCTTTTGTATTATCAACAAATTTCCAGTGGGGTGGGAAATGCCTGTCCTAGTATAGGTTCTGTGATAGATTTGTTTCTCCTTATTTTCTCCATTTGTTTTTCAGTCTGAGTCTGCAAGAATGGCCTTATTCAGAAACACAAAATCTTAAAGAATTTAAAGCAGATCTCAAAGTTCCCTTCTACCTCAATGCAGTCTAGACATAGAGAAATAGATGAACTCCAGAGATATCCCCATAGTCCCTACGAGTGGGCATGCAGCCTCTTTTTTAATACTTCAGAGATGGTGACGGGAATTGTTATCTCTCAAGGCAACTAGTGCTAAAGAGGTTTTGTGTGAATGTTGGCCTGATAGGCCTCTCCATACTTTTCTTCCAGTCTGTCTTGATTTTAGCCTTTTGAAATAATGAAGAACAAGTTTTCTCTTCTTTTTCCTGACTGCCGTGGATTTTTTTTTTTAATTTAATGCAGCGAATATACTGAGCATATGCTATGTGAAATACATTTTGCAAGGTGCTGTACTTGGTATATGGAAGATCAATAGATGGGAAAAAAAAGCATAGTTCCTGTTATTCTGGAGCTTATGAATATCAGGGAGTGAGAACAGAGTATACCAGTATGAATCACTAATAGACAAAAAATAACTGCCAGTCTAGTTAGGAAAGTATTTACAGGAAGCACAAAAGGCAGTAATGATAGTAATATTCTTCCTTTGTCAGCTCCAAATTTCTGATTGACCTCTTCACTCTCTGGTAAACCTGAACACTCTCCCTGGGTACCCACATTAGTCTCTCCTGGTTCCCTCTCTCGAGGTTTTTAGAGTGCTGGTGGTAATTAATTTGACTTCAGTTTCGTAGAGTAGGTGTGGTAGAGTGAAATTTTTCTTTTTTCTCCTCTTGTCAGATTTGACTTTCTGGGTCAGGGTAGCCCAAAAGGAAATAACACTCTCTGATTTACCAGTTTCCTTTAAAGCTTTAGGCAGTCACCCATTTCCTGCTTTCCCCTTTTAATTTCTTAAGGATTGGTATTTAATTGTATTTTTCTTTTTTTTTTTAGACTATATTAGAAGTTTTTAAATTATATGTCCTTTGCTTGTAGGGAAGTTTCCTTTTTCTTACAATGTCAGGATAAGTTTAGAAAGTACTCAGTAAGATTATATCTCTGAGGTTAAGGGGATTCTCCTCTACTCTTCCTCCCTCTCCCTCGTGTTGGGAACCCCTTGGCAAATTTGAATCACTGTTTTCTGCTTACTCTGAGCTTTGGGAAGAAATCTGTGTACGAGATAGGAAGGAAGTATCGTGTTAGTATCCTGGAGGATAAACTCTTGGTTGAAATAGGTCTGTGGAACATGGCCTTGTAATAAAGCCACTATCAGGGAGATGACTTTACTGTCTTAGCCAGTCTTTAATACATAAGCTCCTAAGTGTAGAAATTGTTAAGACTGACTTCAGTTCATGCAAAGTCATTCATGTAAATGCTTTAGCACCAGTTTCTTAAGATTTCCGTGATGCAGAGTTCTAGGGATCTGAGGTCATCGAGTCCTAGACCCACAGTTACCTCATGCACTCCTCTGGTTCCAGGGAGAATGGGTGGTGAGTTCCTTTTGCCCTTTAGAGGTAACCAGATAAGTCAAATGACTACTGATCATTTACTTTTTTAAAGATAGCTTTTTTTAAAAAATTGTAACATGAAACACATAAAACTGCATAGACAAATCTATTACTGAATGAGTATAAGGCCAAAAGCCTTGTAAAACCACTGTCCAGGTAAAGAATTAGAATTTTTTCATCCACCCAGAGCCCCTTCCAGTGAGCTTTAATACCAATTATGTATATCTAAGGATTATAGTTTAGTCCCCTACCCCCTGTTTTTATTTAGTCTGTCTTAATTTACAGCTTCCCCTTCTCTGTTGAACTGGGGTGGTTTGACTTGTTTCCCCACAGTCTCTGTTTTGCTTACTGAGACTCGTGCAGTTCAGCATGTTTTTCATCCCCTACAAATGGGTATTTGGATGCAGAGGCTTGATCAGGCTCATATGTAACTCCTGTGCAGGGCTCGGCGTGGTGCTGTGCTTTTTCTTCAGACAGTACACAAAGTCTGAAGGTCTTCTTTTCCACTGATGTTTCAGTGCTAGAGCCATTAGTTCCTTCAGGGTTGCAAAATAGTGATACTCTAATTCTTTTTTTTTTTTTTTTTCCATTAAGTGAGGTACATCTATAAAGAGATGTTTTTCCTTACTGATTGATTTTCCAGCGTACAGTTTATGTAGGAAAGGCAGAAAAGAAAGTTCGTTTCTTTCACTTTATTTACTAGTTTTCAATATAAACTATCACCCTTTGAGGGTGACTAGGTTTTTTAAAGTGTCATTATTAACTGCTGTATCTACGTAATTTGGGTTTCAGGTGTACGTCATGAATTGTAATTACTGTGATGCTTACATTTTCCTGTTGTTGATTAATGGGAGAGCTTCTTAAATGATTTCTCGGTTTTTGATACAACCCTAATTTGTCTTTGGTAGTTGACTTGCTGTGTGATATAGCAATATTCTCTTGACTAATCTGTGTATTTCCTGCCTCAAACCTGGAATATGTAATTTTTTCTAAGAAAATTTTTTTTTTTAAATTTGGAAATGATATTTCAAGACCAGAATCTCTGTTGCTAGGGATGCTTGTTGCTGTTGGGTTGGTCATTGTTTCTAGGTCTTTCCATGGGACAGAACTAGGAAATAGGACTATACATACTATATCTTTTCATTATATATATATATATATATATAGAGAGAGAGAGAGAGAGAGAGAGAGAGAGAGGGAGTCATACATATTTATGATGGAAGGATATATATTTATGTGATAATAAATACATGTTTAATATAAAATATTTTTAAATATATAAAACACATTTGTATATTTATAATTAAAAATCTTATAAAAATATACTGATACTTTTAATTCAGATTTAGAAGAATAGGGATTTTTAGTTGACCTTTTCTATAATTACATGTGTATCTCCTTTAATACTCAGTGTCCTAGTTCTCAGGGACATGGGATGATGGAATTTGAATATCCTGTAATTAGTTATTTGGTTTATCCCATATTACATTGCACTCTCAGAATAACAGTACTAAAAATACTGCCACTAATATGAGTACTGAAAGCAGGTAGAACTGCTTGGAATATTATTTCCATTCCCCATCCTACTCCCATTAAATAGTTGTACTCCATATTGTGAGAGTATGTAATCATTATGTACTATCAGCCTTCCCATTTAACCTGCATACAATCCTATTTGGACTTCATTTTCTAAGTAAGTATATATTCAGTGCCTCCCACTAGTTTATTTATTTCTAATCATTTTAGTTTCCTGGAATCTTATTCTCTAGGTGTTTCTTAGGAAGGGCTCCTAGGAGCATATTCTCTAAGTTTCTTGTTGATCATGTGTCCTTTATATTTGAATGTTAGTTTGGCTGTAAGTAAAATCGGTGGCTTGCGTTCTTTCTTGAAATATCTTGAATATGTTGCTTCAGTTTTGTGATAGGCTTTGATGACAGTCTGATTTTCTTTCACCTATTAGTTAGTTGCTCTTTTTGCCTAGATGCCCGAAGGATTTTTTTAAAATCAGTAATTTTAGTGGAATATATCTTGATGTTGGTTTTGTTCTACCTTGATATTCTCAGGTACGGTATGATAAGAAAAACGTGTACATGTGTAGTTTGAAATTTTTTTCTTTTAATTTTAGGACAGTTTGGATAATAACTTTTAGTATTCTGATTCCTTCGTGTTTTTCAGAGATTTATTTTCTGAATTTGCATATTTGTCTCTTGAATCATTTTAAAGCTTAAAAAAATTAAGGTATAATTTACAGGAAAATAAAAATAAAATGTAGTAGAACTCACACTTTATTAGTTGTACAGTTCTTTTATAAATACACACAGTTGTGTAACCACCACCACCACAGTTATGAGTTTCATCACTCCCAAAAAACTTCCCCATGCACCTTTTTCCTTTTTTAAGATACTACTTATTAGAGAGAGAGCACAAGTTGGGGGGAGAGGCAGAGGGAGAGGGAGAAGGAAAAGCAGATTCCCTGCTAAGCCTGGAGCCAGACGTGGGGCTCTGTCCCAGGACCCTTGCATTATGATCTGAGCCAAGGTCAAGAGTCAGATGCTTAACTGACTGAGCCAGCCAGGCACCTCTAAAAGAAACTTTATTTTTTAGGGCTATTTTAGCTTCACAGCAAATGTGACACAGTATTGTGCATGACTCACCCGCTATTAACATCCTCTACCAGAATGGTGCATTTGTTACGATCGATGAACCTGCATTGACTGACACTATCACTCTTGGTTCACTCTATAAATATTGTACATTTTATGGGTCTAGATAAATACATAATGACATGTATCTACCCATTATAAATCATAATATTTTCACTGCCCTAAAAGTCCTCTGTGCTCTGCCATTTCATCCTCCTCCTCTCTCCCTGAACCCCTGGCAACCAGTGATCTTTTTACAGTCTCCATAGTTGCCTTTTCCAGAATGTCACATGGTTGGAATCATATAGTATGTAGCCTTAAACTTTGACTTCTTTCACTTGGTAATGTGCATTTAAGTTCTTCCATGTCTTTTCATGGCTTGATAGTTCATTTCTTTTTAGCGCTAAATAATATTCCATTGTCAGGATGTACTGCAGTT